AATTAAATTAAATAATTATAAAAAAATTAAGATTTAAAGTTTAATAATTAAATTATTTATTATATAATTTTTATATTAATTTTAAACAAATTTTATATAATAAAATTTAAAAAATAATAATTTAATTATTTAATTATATAAAATATTTATAAATATATTATTATTTATTTATTTAAAAATTATAATCAGTATAAAAAGTAATAGCAAACATATTTTTTTATCTATAACTTAATAAGAAATTGCTAAAAATTTATAAAAATTTAGTATTATATTCTTTAAGATGACAAAAATAAAATTTTTTAAGATCATAAAGTGTATAATATTTTATAAAATCATGTATTAAAGATAATAGATTGGAAGCTATTCTGATTAAAGTGCTATAAAAAATTATTTAAAAATATTTTTTATAAGTTAGTATAAAAATAATTTTATAGAAATATATTTAAAGATATAAAAAATATATTTATAATTTAAAAAAAAATTTTAGTTAATATTTATTAAATAAATATCAATTAAAAAAAGACTTAATTTTGATAAATTTCATAATAAAATATAGTAAAATATAATAAAAATATTATTTTATTATGTTTTTTTATTAAATTTATCAAAATTAAGACTTTTTAACTGGTATTTATTCAATAAATATTAACTAAAATTTTTTTTTAAATTATAAATATATTTTCTATATCTTTAAATATATTTCTATAAAATTATTTTTATATTTGCTTATAAAAAATATTTTTAAATAATTTTTTATAGTACTTTAATCAGAATAATTCTTAACTTATTATTTTTAGTATGTGATTTTACAAAATATTACTATATTAATATGCTTTATGATCTTAAAAAATTTTATTTTAAAGAATATAATAATAAATTTTTATAAATTTTTAGCAATTTCTTATTAAGTTATAGATAAAAAATATGTTTACTATTACTCTTCATATTAATTATATAAATTTTTTCTAAAATTAATTAATCTTTTTTATATAATATTATAAATATTATTTATTTTTTATCTAAATTAATTAAAAAATTACTAATAAACTAATTTAAAAAATTTTATTATTTGAAAAATTACTTATTAAACTATTAATATATTTTAAATTTAACTTATAATTTTATTTAATCTTACTAATATATTTTTAAGTTAAATATTAATAATTTTGTTTAATTTTTTTATAATCTTTTAAAAGATATATAAGTTTACTTATTTTTTTTAAATATTTAAATTTATAATAATATATTAATTTTTAATATTCTTATATATTTAAAATAAGTTATCAATTATAATATTAAAACTCTATACTTAATAATTACATGATTTTATTTTAATTTTCAAAAATTTTAATTTAAAATTTAGATTAGATAAAAAAGTTAATTTATAATACTTTGCAGAAAAATTATATAACTTTATATTTAATTATTATTATATCAATTAATAAAATTTAAATATATAATAATATAAAAAATAGATATATAATTCAATTTCTATCTTTTATTTTTATTTTCTTTTTCTATTCTCATTCTTTATTATTTTCTTAATTATTTTAGGCAAGTGATAATATAATTTAAATTTATTGATAATTTACTTAACAATTTTACTCTCTAATTTTTTATTATACATATTTATATATCTTCATAACTTATATATAAATTTGTAAATAATTATTATTAGAATTATAAAGAAAGCTTCTGAAACTTATTTTAATAAGTCTGTATAATTATAATTACATATTCTTCAAGTACTTACTTTATATCTTTTAACTAGCTTCTTAATCTTATTACTAAATAATTATTTAGAAATACTATTAATTATATATAACTCTCTTCATGTTTATTAATATACTAGCCATTATGTATCTTAAGTTATATACTGTTAGAATTCAAGTTTATTCTTGTTATGATCAATATATTCTTACTCATAATATTATAATTAGTTAATTAATTAAAATAAAAAATATTAATATATTCAAGATATAATATTTTAAATATTAAAATTATTTTATATATAAGCTAGTCTAATATGTATTTCAATTTTTAATATTTATCTATTTATACAGATCAAAAAATAAAAATCTTCTTATTCTCAATATGTAAGTTTATCTGTAATTATTTATTAGATAATTATAATAATATATGATTTATATAAAGAAAAGCTGATATCATAATGAAATATCTCAAATATTTAGAATGTAAAATATTATCTTTCTCTTAAATTCAGATTCTTTATCACTTATCATTTATATAAAAATAACACTTATCATATATTACTTATATAAATTTCTTTTCTTCTGATTTAAAATATGATTTTAATATAATATTTAGCATATTATTATCAAAATTCTTCATATATTTCTTATATTTAAATATTCTCTTTAATTATTTCTTCCTGTATAATACTATATTTAATTACTCATATTTATTATAATAAATATTTTTTCTTCTTTTATTATATTTATATTTTTATAAATATATATAATTTCAGTATATTTTCTTAGAGATCTTGTCTTTTCTGATATATCTTATCATTTTTGAAAATAATATTTTCTTGATATATACTTTTAATATTTCAGATAATTGTAACTTTGATATTTACTATTATAATTATACTTGATAATCTTTCATAAAATTCTTATTATCAAGCAAACTTTTTAATTTTATATATATTTTTTGATAGTAAACAAGAAGCTCTCCTATTTTTATAAAGTGATTATCTTATTTTCAAATATATCTCACTATATAATCATTCTTATTTTATATAATTTATGTAATTTAATTATTAGTATTTATTTTGTTATTCTTCTTTAATAATAATTATATATATCTTAAAAAGTATAAATAGTCATATATAAAAATTTAATTATTTTCTTTGCAAGACTTTGTTATAGAGTATTACTAGTTAACTTCTTCTAATTATTTTTGTAGGTTTATTATAGTATTGACAGGTAATAATATAATATTGATAGGTGATGATAAGATTTGAGTGATTATTAAAGATAACAGAAAGATAATAGTTTGTTTTTGTTTAAAAAATGTATTAAGCTTTCTTATTTCTTTTATATTTTCTTCTTGTTTTCTTTTTTCTTTTTTTTGTCTTCAGTTTGTTATTCTTAAATTTTTAGTATATATTATTCTAAGACTATTTCTGGCTTTCTTATATTAATAAAGAACTTCATTCTTATAACTCTTTTTTTTCATTCTTCAAGAGTTTCTTATATATTAGTAATTTCTTTTTATTCATTAGCTTTCTTCTATTTGTTAAAAATTTTTTGTATATTAATAGTAATGACAGTTCTTTATTCTTTTTGAGATGTAAAATAGTTTTTTTTCTAAATAATTTACTTACCTATTATTATTTTTTTATATATGATAATATTATTAATATATATTAATTAAATAAGAAATAATCAATTAGCATATATATAATTAAATAAATATCTTAATTTAGATCAGCACATATTTAATCTGAATTATATTTAATACTAATCAATAAAATTAATTTTATGTGATAAAAATAGTTATATAAATTATTTTAATTTTAGATAAAATATATAAAATATATCTAATTTTAAATGGATATAACTTTTTTTATAGAAGTTTTTTTAAAATTCTGACTGATAATTTAATAAAACTTATCCTAATAAATAATATTATTAGTTTAGTTTTTTTTATAAAGTGCTGATAGATTTTAAAAATATTTATTTTTATTATTGAGTATAAAGTTCTGATATTATATAAGTATTAATAAAATATAATAAATAATAAAAAGATTATTTTTAATTACTTTTTTTATTTTTTTATATAAGTTTCATATATATAATTTTTTTTACTATTTTATTTTAATTTTCTTTTATTTTTATTAAGATTATTATCTTTTTTTCAAAAATCTTTTTTTAATTAATTTTCTTCTCTTGTTATTATATTCTTGAAGTTTGATAAAATTCTTTTATTAGAAAGATATTAAAATAAATTCTATGATTTTATAATTAATTAATTAATTATAAATCATATCTTTATTTTGTTTGTATTAATCATATAAAAAAAAGATTTTTAATAATTTGTAATAAATTGATTTAATTATAAATTATCTTTACTTAAGAGATATTATAACCAATCACCTATTTATGTGGCGCAGTCATAGTATATGGCGCAGTAATCACCAATCATTACTAAATTAGATATACAAGAAATTTATATTAATTAATTTAATTTATTATTAATTCTATTTTTAATTTATCTTATCACCTAAATTTAGTCTTATTCTTTTATTAATTTAGCCATGTATATCACATCTAATTTATGTTTAATTAAATTAATAATTTTCTAATTAATTATTATTAGTTTTTCTTTCTTTTCTCACTTTAGCTTTGAATATCTTAATGTTTTGCTAATTTTAATTCTTAATTATCATGTATTTAATATTCTTTATAATTATTCTTTTAAAATTTTACTTGTTCTTGAGTAAATTAGATGAAATATTGTGTTAGAAATAATTTGTAATTAGCATAGCAAGAAAATATTATATATATAGAGAGTTAAGAAGTGATCAAGAGGAATAATTAAGTTTGATAGAAAGAATTAACTACTGAATTAAGAGTAGTTAATTAGTATTTTCTTTAATAACACATATATTTTATCACATATCTTATCTTTATTTTCTTCTTGCTCTATTAAGAGAGTATTTTGTTAAAGGTAAACTTATATTAATTATCTTATTGAGAAGATAATTGATCATATAATCTTTCAAAGTTATAAAAATAAATAATTGCCGTGAACAGTCACTCTTACCATTTTAAAATATTTACATACATATAAACTTAAAACGGTAACAATATTTGATAATTTCAAGTCGCTATTAGTCATGTGACATGGCCTGAATTATAATTTATTTCTTAATGCTGGCCAAAATCCGTTATATTTGATTGTGCAAGCATAACATGTCTCACCCGGATTTTCATTTCTTAGACATAAAGTCTCAAAACCAAAGAAATAAAATAATGTCTGAAGACGACAATAGCATAAAGTTCTATAGCGCAAAGAACAATTATGGGGAATTCAGTAATTTCTATCCATCACCCATCGTTATAGATGATGTAATATGGCCAACTACCGAGCATTATTTTCAAGGTATATTTATTTATCTAATCATACTCATTTAACAACTATCTTTCAAACATTACAATTTCAGTATAAAAACATGATTAACAACAAAAAATCATCAATAGCACAAAAATTCGTATCAGATCCCGCCATCGTTACCCGAATCAGAGTTCTCCCGACACCAAATGAAGCAGCAAAAGAAGGACGTCGTCGTGACTTGCCATTACGCAGCGATTGGGAATCCGTAAAAGAGATAGTAATGATGGAGGCATTACGCGCAAAATTCACACAACATCCAGAATTAGGTCGCGTGTTGTTGAGTACAGGTGATAAAAAAATTATCGAGCATACGAGCAATGATCGGTATTGGGCAGATGGTGGTGGTCTTGATCATGGACAGAATCGGCTTGGTGTTTTATTGATGCGATTAAGAAATGAATTGAGAGAAAAAGAAAGTGAGAATAGTGGTAATGACGATGATGTTTGTGATAAAAATAATGAAACAAAGATGTGATGTACGATGCGATATGGGCGGAATCAACCTACGTCAAAATTGCACAGAATTGACGTCCCAAATGAGATCTAACCTTTGAAAATGGCTGGAAAATATCGCAAAATCAATAATAAAACGGGACCAAATAAGTTACATCATAATATAGTAGCATTTATTAATAGATTCATAGAGGTCTAATTTATCGTAGAAATGCTACTATAGCCAGAGTATTGCATCAAAGAATGTTACTGTAATTACGCCCACGGTTCATGTACTTCATCCTCATGTTTATAAATAACTACATTATACAAGACATGCGGTATTTTATACTACAAAGTGTCCCGATATAAAAAATTCTAATTAAAATTCGATATCAAATAATTGAGTCTATAATAAATTCACTTGATATAAGAACATTACTAAATAACCTCTCAATATAAGATGGTTTTGTAAATTTTTCACTATGGACCCGAACAACTTATATCGAGAGCCAGTGGTATCACTTGTAATAAAAATCGGGCTTTCATTTTTAATCAATTTATAAGTATAAAATTTTCTAGACTAAATGATAATTATGAATCAATGGTAAAATATGACCAACTACCGAATATTATTATTAGTACTATAACCATATTTATTAATTATTTATCAAATATCAGTTACATTATCAAAATCAACAAGCTCAAAAATTCAGATTCAACCATCGTAGTCCGCTCCAGAAATCTCACGACGGCAAAGCAACGATGTCACTGAAATTTGCCATTACATAACGACTGGGAATCCGTGAAAGAATCAGTAATGATGGTGGCACTACACGCAAAATTCACACAACATTTTGCGTGTTGTTAAGCACAGGTGATAAGGAACTTATCAAGCATACGAAATATGATTAGCGTTAGGGTTAGGGTGATGGATCAAAGACGGAATTGACTAATTATGATGATAATGGTGGTTGACAAGATCTAATGATAATATGAAATAATGTAATCGGTTTCGAGAAAAGTATTACGACGAAGATTTGATAAGAATTATTATTATTATTAAAAATAAATAATTATATATTACAATAAAAAATAAGCACGAAGTTACGATTCCGAAGATGAGGGTCATGATTTGCCGTTACTATTATTGTTATTAAGTTCCTCCTCTTCTATATCAGGCACGGGAAAATTTAATATTGCTGCCACTCCCGTCAGTTGGTTAAGATCTTTTAAAAATTAAAACCGTTAATAGATCATCAATAACATATCAAAGATTATAACAATAACTACTTAAATGACATACTTTCACCGGACACATGCAAACTAGAGAATATTAATACTTTGCCACCACTATTTCGTACAGATTTCACCAATGATATATATTGTTTACGTGTAGCAATATCTGCAGACCTATTATATTACAACACGTAATTAGCATATTAGCAAACCCCAATTAAAAAGTAAATTATGAGATTACAACATACCTAAACAGCTCGTCACTAAGCATCAAAGTACCAATCGCGCCCAATTCTCCAGCCTTACTAACATGTTCCCATCCATAGAATGCTCTATCAGGATCGTCGTTCAACATTTTAAAAAATTTGTCTAAAGTCGTCATTTCTTGTGCGTATTTCGTATCGGCTAGTTGTGACTGGACGGACGGATCTTGCATCACTTCTTGCAGTGAATGCTTGTGACCCGACGAGCAATGTATGAGTAAAAATTTTGATTTGTTTTCCAATAGGGTTTTATTATCTGATTTCTGTTAATTTATATTGTTCAAGTACAAATAAGAATGTCTCTTTAGTGGAATATAAATTGCTCCTAATCCACAATAAATAAAGGGATCTATTTGTAATTACCACAGCCTCTGCAAAAATATGCTCATATAGTTGATCCTAGAAAGAGAGGTTAGTTTTTAGAATTGATCAATTAGCGCACCTTAACCAATATCTCTTCTTACCTTGACAAAACCAGGACTTGCTATTATCACTACTTTGACCACATCAAAATTGACATGCCGTATTATCGATTGCATAACCTGCTCGTAAAATTTATATAACCCCTAACAGAGAGATAGAAAGATATATAGTAAAAGTATGGATGAACGGGATTTTGAGAGTTGAAAATAAAAATAAATGCAAACCTTCTCATAGTTTGTCACTGATCCTTTACGTTTTCTCGGAATCGGACTCTCTATTCGCTGACGCACAATAGTCATGTTTTGTGTGACAAGACACACATTAGCTAATCCTAAATAAGCATAACGAAATATTTCATGAATAATCATGAGACATATCTATGTTCCCTAAGGAAATGATAATTCCCCCGATAACTAATTAGCTACCTTCTTGCAAGACTACAGCTGCCACATCCGCAGTTTTAGTGATATCGCAAGCTTCTTCCACTCGTTCAAGTGCGATTATGTCCCATTCACTCTTGATTAATGTGAAGTTTCGATTAAGCTCCAAATCTATAGTATGATACATGCCCATCTACATGCGTATATCAAGACCAACAAATTAGAAATCAAAAAATTATTGAACCTTGACAGTTGAATCATAAGGTACCTTAACATATCTATTCTCTACTATATTTCTACCTCTTATTCGTAATAAGCCACCTTGAGGATCAAAGTCTATTTTATCTACACTTATTGTTAATGTTAGTCTGACGCGTTGCGAGTCCACAGACCCCGTGGTGCTTTCGGTTTGAACACGTCTATCCCCAAGGAAATTTGAAATTCGTCAAGGAAGAACTATTCAAAATGAAACTATAAAAGATAAAAATACTCGCTTACCTTATTGTTGTCGCCTTTAATTGGTCACCTACAGAAATGAGGTTGTATACATGCCACATGTCTTCCAGCTCTTCTGGGTAAAGAACAACATACCCCTATCAGGGAACATGTGAATTTTAATAAAAAAATGTGGAATTAACAATATAACGAAATATTTATAATTACTGAGCGGTCTCTCTCAATGTGCCTTCTAATTAATTTCATGTTCGAATAAGCTCCAAGCTGAATTTCTGCGTAATATCGATAAAAATATATTTTACAGATCGACGAATGATGTCATAAATTAATGACATAGAAATTAACACAACATAACCAACATCTTTCTATTATGTAGATCAAGCTTTCAAATAGTTTATCTCGTCCATCAATTATTTCTGTTGCTGCTCTTCGAGCTATTCTTGTTCGAAGGAGAATTTAAGTGATAGAACATGGACACTATTTCACCAACACCAGAAGATAGAGGTTTTAACATTGCTGTTAATCGAGCTGTTAATCGTTCACCGGCACCTTCGTAAGTTCTTGACTTTTAGAATTCATTCCTGTCAGATTTGGATTTGTAAGAAAGATTTGCATTATATATAACTTGCTTCCAATTAGTTACGAGCACAGACCACCGCCGCCATTGCCACCACTTCCCGAGTGGGATCGTCCAAACACAGTTCCGCATGCTAATAATTTAGCAAAACAGACAACTATATCTCAAGAGTTCCCAATACTACTACAGAAGAGGCATGTATTTGTTTATTAATTCTGATGTGACTAAAAAAGATTGAAAAATGCTAATTTCAATTCTGAATCTATATCTAGTAAAGAAGAATTGAATGATCTAGCAAATAATGATATTATTTTTGAATCATTCTTTGAGGAATTAGATCGAGTGAAAAATATGGGTGCACTGCTTGACGAAATGAGGACGGCTAATGAGATGTTGGCAAGTACGGCTGGAGATGCATTTCTCATTCTCAAACACTTTTATTGTAAATATTATGACGTCAATTTTTGAAAGAGAAGAGAATTGTCTGACATGTTGCCTCCACACTCAACGTACCTACTCCTATTACTACAATTTATAAAGAAAAAACGCTTGCACGCGAACCAGAATTAATTCAACTTCGTCAGTCCGTTCTAGATCAACAAAAAGAACTTAGAGAATTAGAAGAGGAATTCCATGAAAAGCTTAAAGCTCAGAAAGATGCATTACGTGTATGTAGTATTAATCCTTTTCGTTATTATCTCGTTCTCTCATTAGAAATATCAACAAAGCCATAATTAATTAAATAATAATATTGATGTCATTTATTATGGTTGTGAATAGCGATTCTCTCCAACTGTTCTTCTCTCCAAGCTGAAATCCGAGGTACAATTATCGGATGAATTGTCAGAACAGATGGCAAACTCATTCTTAGAGGGTGGACTAGAGAACGATTTGTTCTTGAAACATTTCCGGGAGGTCAGAAAAGTGTTTCATCTGAGAAATGCCAAAGTAGAGAGAGTGAACAGTCAACCGGGAATTTTGGGACCATGAAAACCTTTTTATATAAAACATCACACCACACTATTGCCACCAACCAACATTGGACATTTATCACTATTGCTATTTTTATTTATATTAACAAATTTCTCAATAATAATAATAATAATAATATATAATATCACGAAACGAGAAATTTGGTTCGAGTAAGGTAGTCGTCTTTTTTGTTCATAGACTTTATTTTTTATTGTTGTTAATTATTATAATTGTTATTTTTGATTAATTTTTTATGGATGGTAGAGAAAAAATTCATAAATTTTTGAGATATTAAAATCTTTTTTTCTTATCGACAGAAAATAAAAAAAGGATATGAAGCAAAGAACATTTCAATTAACAAACATATAATTAATTATTTTATTATACAATGCTCTTTGAGGAAGAAAAAAGAGTCAGTGTAACGGAAGAAGTGTGTATATTTCCTTAAAGTAAACGACTTTTCTTTTCATACAAACATCAGATGTTGGAAATCAATAAATCAATCAACCGTCAACCTCCATATCTTGCTCCTGCAGCTGCTTCTGCGTCTTTTTTTCCAGTATTTTGGACACTTGTGTTTTGATTTTCGTACTCGGAGCCTGCACAAGTTCAATATTGCGTTGCACTTCGGATATGAATTCGGCCTTTTCACGTTCCTTATTACCAGCCATCCTACAATTCGTCAAATGATGGTAAAATAAGCGTTGCAATGAATACGATAAAGAAAAAAAAGTAAATTTTTTTTCAATCCAAACCTATTCTTATAGAATACTCGTTCTCTCTTTGCTCGAATCTCTGTGACCCGTTTCAATGCCTTCACTGTGGTCGTCACTAGTTCACGATCATAGCGTACAGGTACATTACGACGTTTTTCAAATTCGAATGTGCTATCCTGTTGATTTTTTAATTGTAAATGGAGATTAATTTTAATATAATCAATTGATGATTGATCTGTATTATTTTAAATTGAAACACGTACTATAGTCATCTCCTTCCCTGCAGCCTTCCTAAAAGCTTTAGTCCACCTTACTTTACGAGGGTTGCGTTTATGCTTAAATGCCGCATTACATTTACTTCTGCAGAAACGAAAAACCTTTTTTTCATTAAAAAAAGTGAACAATAAATAATATGAAACTAAATTCGCGAGCTACTCTTACGGTTTGAAACAATAAGTACCTTACTATCGTTCCGCACAAACATTGTACCGTGTCCTGGATATATCGTCGACGAACAAAAATAACATTTTTCTAACCGCATTTTTTATTTTTCTCAAAATTCAGCAAAAAAAACAAAGGTTAATATATTGGCCAATTATGGTGACTGAAGCACGTGCTAAATAGATGTTTGACAAAATTTTCTAAAAAACCATCCATCACGTAGTTTACCAAAACTCTCCTTATATCGTGTCTTCGTCGTTTGCCTACATAAGAAGACTTTATTTCACAAAAAATAAACAATGGTATTTTGATGATATCTATCTTGTAAAATAATATTTTTGTAAGCTCAAACTAAATAAGTAACTAACAGGGCCATCATTAATTTACGCGTCAATTCCCATGTTTTGTAAAAAAAGGGGGACGAAACAAACCCAAAAGCTTTTCCTCTTGCTGATGCAGAATTAACCAACCAAATACTTGATTTAATTCAACAAGCTTCACATTATCGACAGCTGAAAAAAGGTGCAAATGAAGGTACGTATATGTGAAGGAGGATCATTGATTATTTATATTTTAAAAAATTGATTGACATTTTATTGCAAAGCATGAAAAAAGACTAAGGGAGCTCCAAAAAACTAAAAAATATAGCCACAAAAACATTGAATCGCGGCACATCCGAATTCATTGTAATGACGGCTGACGCACAACCAATTGAGATCTTGCTGCATTTGCCATTACTCTGCGAAGACAAGGTAAGAAATTTCGAAAAACTTAAATTTTATAATCAACAAAAGTAACTGATTTATTTTTAATATGTTCTCAAAGAACGTTCCATACGTTTTCGTACCATCCAAAATAGCATTAGGACGTGCTTGTGGAGTGAGTCGTCCCGTGATTGCTGCCTCGATAACAAGTAACGAGGCATCAGAATTAAGACCGCAAATTCAACAGATTAAAGGACAAATTGAGAGATTGCTAATCTGATCGGAAATAATAACCATAATATTTATTAATACTACTAGTAAACTATTCTAGTGTTGCATGCCGTAATAGGTTTAATAAAATGGAAAGGTCACAATTTTTAACTTAAAATCGTAATTTTTGCCGTAATTGATGTAATACTATTGTTGTAAAGTCGTAATTGATGCATTATTCGTAATTGGTGTAAAAGTTCGCAATTAATATTTGTACAAAATAATGAAATCCCGTAATTTCACGTACGACCTCTTTGAGGCTCAATGTCTCGAGATCAGGTGACGGAAATCGAGTGTAAGGCCACCATTTGCTCCAACAGAACCTAGGGAATTGAATGATCAGCTTTATACTCGCTTGGTCTCGAGATATTGAGTCCCAAAGAAGTTGTACATAAAAGTGTTCGTCAAAAATAAATCAGAATTCCACATACGGCCTCTTCGGAGCTCAATATCTCGAGGCCTAGTGGTGGGAATTGAATATAAAGTCCTATCATTCGATTCACCAGAATCTAGAGAATCGAATGTTAGACTTTATACTCGATTCTCACCACTGGGTCTCGAAATATTAGCTATGGAGAAAAAAAGGTACGAAGGAGTAAAAAAACCAATCAGGTCGCACGATCACATTATTTTTGTATCTCAAAAATTTTACCTATGAAACTATTTTCTGTGTTCTAGCAATCTTAACTCTTACTCTAACCCGAATCTTAATCAAAACTTTTTTTCTGTGAATTTGCTCATTATTGTGCATATCATCGATTGACGTGAGTTTAATCAGTAATCTTA